TTGAAGAGGGTCTGTGCAATCCTTCTGCCTAGTCCGCCATCTTGCCGGAACTCTACTTCTCTCTCCTTAAGTTGTGAAATTAAATTCATGGCTTTGTCATCTTTCACAATTGGAGAAGATTCTATTCTATTTTGCTAGCAAAATGCATCAGTTTTTATATAACCTGATAAGATGTGAAGAATCACTCAATATTGGGAAATCCAGCAGAAGACAATGAAACACTGTTTTTCGCTAATTTAATGATACTTTAAGGAAGACGATATAAATTTTTAATACATTTATTTGATTATACGTGTTTTAGTCACTTATTAAATTAAAGCATTTATTAATTTACAGCATTACATTTTCCCTGTTCATGTTTTATGACACCATTTTAATTGGCTCTGTCATGGATATCTTTGTCATCTCATCACTGTCATTAATAGAACCATTTTTGTGTTCTCTATTTTCTTTTTTTTTAAATATCTATGCCTGGTGCTTCCACTAGCGATTTTACCCAAACCGTCCTTTCTCATTTGTCCTATATAAGTCCTTTTGGCTAAAGTATAGTCCCTAGACCAGCAGCAAATGGGCATCATTTAGGAAGAGCTCTGGCTCCAGCCTGATCTAATGAATCAGAATCTGCATTTTATCAAAATCCCACAGTGATTTATGTTCTCATTAAATTGTAAGAAGTAGCTTTAGGCATATGTACACAGTTTTTGTACAACTAAACACTTTAGAGGCTATATATAGTAACCCGAGAAACCTCATGGGGCAGTTCTACTCTATAGGGTCGTTATGAGTCAGAGTTTACTCAGTGGCAGTGAGTCTAGGTTTTTTGAGGAGTCCATGGTTAAGTAGGCAGCTGCTAGCTGAAAGGTCATTGACTCAAACCCAACAGTCACTCTGTCAGAGAAAGCTGTGGCAGTCTGCTTCCGTGAAGATACAAGGCTTGGAAACCCTATGGGGCAGTTCTGCTTTGTTCTATAGTATTGCTGTGAGTCAGAATTGAAGTGGACTTTAGGTTTTGGTATATAAGGCTTATACCTCAGGTAAGTGACTAAATTGTGTTAAGCTATCATTGTCTTCTATTTGAGGATTCAATGAAATGACCTCAGTAAGCATGCAAAACATAAAATTGACTGAGGTTTTGTTTTATGCAAGTATACAATGTTACTCAGAATTTTGAAGACAGAACTTCTCCAAAGTATGAGAGACTTTGTAAGGATATGGTGTCTTCTCTTTTTTGAATAAATTCCTTTAGGAAAAAGAATTCACGTTTGCAAAAACGGCAAGGAGGCCACATGTTCTGACCTCCTCTAATCTCACAAGAGGAAAGCAGGATAACCAGCAATAACCCAAGGCCTATTCCTGCAAGGCCAGACATGCTGCCTCCCTACAGCCCTTTCACCAACCGTTCCTCCCAAAGCACCCACCACCTCTCTCCTGGGTTCGATAATTCGCTGCAGTGGCCACACAGAACTCACGGATTACGGGGTTTATTAGGGAAGCACCAGGCTACAACTCAAGTTCAGGAAGAATGCTCAGTCTCTCTCCCAGCCCACCATCCCTCAGCCAAGAGTCTCTCACAGTCTCTTTCCCAGCAGTGCTGGTCCCTCAGTGTCTCACTCAGCAAGTACGTGTCTCTTGCGTCTCTTTCCCAGCAACATGTGTCTCAGGAGCCCATGTCTCTTTCAGCAGCAGATCTTCCTCAACCAGCAGTCAGAGTTCTGCCTCCAGGAGGTCTCCTTTAGAGCCCGCAGGGTGGTCAAACTAGCCAATTATAGCATCAGAACTCTAAGCACCTGAGAGAGAGTGGGCACCTCCCAGAACATTGTTAAGACTTATGGGTAGAAAAGCCACACAAAGTAATTTACTACACTGCAACGTTTCATTTGTGTTTATGATAATAATACAGTGAGGTTACTCTCCTGGATTATTGGGATACTTTAAGAAATAATTTAGAGCTCTGGTGGCATAGTGGCTAAGGCATCTGACTGCCAACCAGAAGGATGGTGGTTCAAACCCATCAGCCACTCCTTGGAAGGAAGATTGGGCAATCTATTCCATAGAGATACTGCTTCAAAAACCCAAGGAGGGGTCGCTATGAGTCAGACCGGACTCAACAGCAATGGGTTATGTTTAAGAAATAATTTAGATGAGGTATCACTGTGTTTGTGCTTTCCAGGAAAAACAATTTTTTGAAGACAAGACATTCTGAGTGTTATTAACTTTGCTCATGTATTTCATTTTGAGTAGGTGGAGAAACTTTGGGAGCTTCTGTGCCCTCTGCTTAGAACAGCGTTATCTAACATTACGGTAGAAACTTACAACGACTGGGGAACTTGTATAGCAACATCCTGTGTAAGTTCTGCTTACTTCTGTGTTTGACTCATCTGATCAAACTGTATCATACTCTGTCTCAAAATATATGATATTTCATTATACTTGAATCTTGAAATTATATACATGGTTTTGTCATCTTCCATGTTTGGAGAAGATTGTGTTCAGCATTTTAAGTAAGCCTTGAGTGAGAGTTCTCTATCAGTATTTTATCTTCTCGGTTGTGGAGATGCATTCTTTTATTAAATAACAAGTCAAATCATGTATCTGGAAATGTAACTTAGTAAAAGCCAGACAATCCAAGGTTATAGATATCATTCCTGACACCATATGTGTCCATGGCTGAAAGCACTGCTAATCTTTCTAATATATACCATGGTATATATTTTTACTTGGCTCCCCTCTCAGTTTTATTTTGGTATTTTTACTTCTCTTTATGTAAATTATATGTAGTTATAATATTTATAAGATAATTGGATATTATTTACACAATTGTAGGTCTTGCCCCTCTTTAACTGTCTCTTTATATTTTCAACACAGGAAAGCAGAGATCCTCGGAAACTTCATTGGCTTTTTGAGCTGCTGTTGGAGTCACCATTGAGTGGTGAAGGAGGATCCTTCGTAGATGCATGGTAACTAAAAAGAAAACCTATAAATGGAAGTGAATTGTCTGCACTCCTAAGGCTTGATGAAGTAATTACTTTCTTTTGGGAGATGGTGTGAACCTTTTAAGGAGAAATGCATTTGATATGGCATAAGAAACGAGTTTATGTTAGTGGACAATACGAAGAAATCGGTTAATCCTGTTTAACAAGAAGAATTAGTCTTTTGTTAATTAGGGAGAATTCTGAAATCTGATGCCTAAAAACTAACTCAGTGTTCTTAAGTTCCTATTTCTTTTGATGTGTAGTAATGGGGATAAAACGGAAATAAAGAGAAAATGATGTGGAAAAAAAAATTAAAGCGTCATAAAGATATAAAGATATTTTGAATTGTGGTCACTTTATTAGATGAAGAAATGAAAAAAAATTAAGTGAAATTCAGACATCATTGATCTATCCTTTTGATAATGTAATTACAGAAGAGGCCATAACACAACATTCCTATACTTTAATTTTAGTCGACTTTACGTTCTACAAGGTGGTCTTGCCCAGCAAGAATGGAGAGTGCCTGAACTATTGCACAGACTACTGAAATACTTGGAACCCAAACTCACACAAGTTTACAAAAATGTCAGGGAAAGAATAGGGAGGTGAGTATTATTTTCTCTGTCATTTGGTATACCTCTTATTTATTTATTTAAATTGAAACATAATATCTGAAATAATATCTATTATTATAGTGTCATAGAGTTTCATGATATACTCTTTATAAAGTTTTGTTTTGTGTATGGGAAACCAGCTAAGTCGCAGTGAATGTGGACTAGGGCATTAGTGTGCTCACCAGCCAAAAGGTGGGCAGTCACCATGGCTCAGTTCTTAATGCTTAAAAAAAAATGTGAGGCTTGTCTTCTACATAGGTACAATCTGAGGCTCTCTCTAGAATTGTCTTGGGAAAATTTACTTTGATTGGGTCAAATTTTTGAAGCTTAGTTGTGTTTATAATGTCAGTTCTATTCTATTCTATGTTTTATTTTACAGTGTGCTGACCTACATATTCATGATAGATGTTTCCTTGCCAAACACTGCACCAACAACATCCCCTCGTGTCCCTGAGTTTACTGCTCGAATCCTAGAGAAACTTAAACCCCTCATGGATGTGGATGAAGAAATTCAGAACCATGTTATGGAAGAGAATGGAATTGGTGAAGAAGATGAACGAACTCAGGGCATTAAACTCTTAAAAACTAGTGAGTGGCTAAAATTAGTAGAAACTCACTTGAAAACTGACATTTATTTTTGTTGTCCTGTTGGACTTTGTGTCTAAATTTTTTTCAAGGGCTCTAAATATAAGCTACTTGGTCATCATTTTTCCTGCATTAGTATTGAAGGTTACTGTAATTTACATTCTATGTAAATTATGTATGTGTATTTGTTTCCAAATAGTATTGAAGTGGCTGATGGCGAGTGCAGGAAGATCCTTCTCTACAGCAGTCACAGAACAACTCCAGCTTTTACCTTTGTTTTTTAAGGTAAGTTTGTGGCTGAAATTAAAAATGCATCCTCTTCTAACCTTCAAAAATGATTTCTATTTATTGTCTGATGGCTAATAGGTTTGAAGACACCGTATGAATTTTGATTGAAGTCGAATAGTCATGGAAGAATCAGTATGTGAGAATAGTTTAATACATGAAAACCTTACAGTTTTCATGATAGCTTATTTCTGAATATAGAAAATATTGATAGGTAAAAAGAAAAAAGTCACAATGAGGTTTTTAATAATACCATTTCTTTTTACTCAGTGTATAATCTTACTATCAAAATATTCAGTATGTGTTTATTTTATAATGTTACATGACTCTGTAATTGATTCTAACACATATCTGTAGGAAGTAATTTATCTGTGGTAATCATACAATAACATTTAAATTTTACTGAATGAAAAGCATAATCTGATGTGATTTTAACTACTCATTCAGTCAGAATGAATGAAGTTTTATTAGTCTAATTAAAGTCATAGACTGACTTATCTAGCATTGTAGTTTAAATCATGATGTTGTAGGCTGGATTAGGAAAGTGACGTAGTCTCATTGTGTATTTGGAAGGTTTGACACAAACATCACTGCTACTTGTCACTTACTAGTCAGTACAATTATGATTTAAGAAATGAGAATCGTTATTAAAATTGTTTATGGTATGCTATAATTCTCAAGGGAGCTCTGGTAGCATAGTGGCTAAGACACTTGCCTGCTAACCAGACGGCTGGCGGTTCAAACCCACCAGCCACTCCTCGGAAGGAAGGTTGGGCAATCCTACTTCCGTAGTGATACTGCCTCGGAAACCCAAGGAGGGGTCGCTATGAGTCGGGGCCGACTCGACGGCAAACAACAACAACATAATTCTCAAAGGATTTGTTACTAAAATATGTTTTAAAATTCTGTGTCGGTAACAGTACAAAAAAGTGTAACAAAATGCCTGTCACAAATTTTTCCCTATTGATAATACTGAATGTAAATGGACAACAGACAAGAGAGTAGCAGAGTGGAAAAACCATGACTCATCAATAGGTTGTCTGTAAGAGATGCACCTTAAGCCCAACATAAATAAGTTAAAAATTGAAGGGTAGGGAAAAAAATACCAAGCAAATAGTTACCAAAAGAGAGCAGAGATGGCAGTATTAATATCTGCCAAAATAGACTTTAAGTCTAAATCTATTGTGAGATATTTTTAATGATTAAAAGGATGATTCAGGGATATATGTAGGCGATCCTGGATAGAGTGGGAGAACAATGTGGAACAAAACTCAAAATCATTTGGGAAAAAAAAGGGGGGAGGGAAGACCAGGTTTGCTGGTCTGATAGAGCCTGGTGGAACCATGGAGACTATGGCCCCTAGCTTCCCTTCAGGTCTGTAATTGAACCCACTCCTGTGGCTTCCAGCCAAACTAAAAACAGGCATATGACTTGAACATTTACACTAGGGAGATACACTCCTTGGAAGAATAATCACAGGAGAGTAGAAGGGCTGTGTATGCACAGAGAAACAGCTCAGGGGGCAGGTGTGCATGGAGGGATGGACACAAGCAAGAGGTAGCTATGGGGAGGAAGTGGGAGAGGAGCTGTTGCATTGTGATAAATTGTAGTCAATGTCATGGACAAAGTGTATGTGAGCTGCTATATGGAAAATGAATTTGTAAACTTTCACCCAAATCACAATAAAAAAAAAATGATAATTCATTTATGTACCCAGTGTCAGAGCCCCAAGATTTTTAAAACAAACTCTTAACAGAATGAATGAGAGAAATAGGAAAATCTACAATAATAGGAGGTTTCAGTACATCACTTTTGACAATAGACAGAACAACTAGAAAAAGAAAATCAATAACGATAAAGATGATCTTACTAAAACTATTAACTAGTTGGACTTAACAGAAATATATAGAACACACCACCCAAGAATAGCACAGTACACTTTCTTCTCCATTGCACCTAGGGAACGTTTTCTAGAATAGATCATATTCAACACATTTTTTAAAAATTGGAATCACACAAATCATCTTCTCTGACCATAACAGTATGAAGTTACCAAAGTGATAGAAAGAGTTAGATAAGTAAATAAATACATGGAAACTAAATAACATACTATTAAAAAACTAATGGGTTATAGAAGAAATCAAAAATGAAATTGAAAAAGTACATAGAATTAAATGAAAATGAGCAAACAACATACAAAAACCCATGGAAAAGAACAAAAGCAGTGCTCAAAAAGTTCATAGCAAGATACCACATTACAAAAAAAAAAAAAAAAATCTAAAATCAATAACTTAACCCAGCAATTTGAACAAATAGAAAAGGAAGAACAAAAGAAGACCTAATCTTCTAGAAGAAAGGACATGATAAAGGTCAGAGCAGAAATAAATGAAACAGAAAAAGAGTAGAAAGAATCAACAGGACCCAAAGTTGGTTCTTTGAAAGGATCAATAAAATAGACACATAATGGCAAGACTGATGCAAATAATCAATATAAGAAATGAAATTGGAGGCAGTGCATCAATATCCATCATGAATATAGATGCAAAAATTCTCAACAAAATGAAGCTAATGAGTAGGAATTTGGAGTTCAGGTGAGTAGTCTATCCTGGCAATATAAACTTGGAAGTCATCGACATACAGATTGTATTTAAAAACGTGAGCCTGAATGAGATCACCATGGGGAGCATTGTAGATAGAGAAGAGAAGAGGCCCAAGGAAGAAGTACCTGTACCTGCAAAGTACTTAGAGCAGTGTCAGACACAAAGCCAGTTGTCATCAAGTCAGTTTTGAGTCATGGCTACTCCTATGTGTTGAGTAGGGACAGTAGACAGAGAGTAGAACTGTATTCTGTAGTTTTCATCACTAAATTTTCAGAAGTAGATTGCCAGGCCTTTCTTCCAAGGCACCTGTGGATAGACTCAAATCACCACACTTTCCATTGTATTAAATACTATTAAAGTGGAGTTTTTTTGGGGGGAGGGGTGCATATATGCCTTTTATTATGTTGAGGATTTTACTTTCTATCCCTATTTTGCTGAGAGTTTTGAACAGGTTGGATGTTATCAAATGCCTTTTCTGTATCCATTGATACATGGTTCTTCTCTTTTGTTGTGTTTATATGGTGGATTACATTGATTGTTTTTCTGATGTTAAACCATCCTTGCGTACCTGGTATGAATCTCACTTGGTCATGATGTATTATTATTATTTTCTTTTTATATGTTGTTTGATTCTGTTGGCTAGGATTTTGTTGAAGATTTTTACATCTATATTCATGACTGATACTGGTCTATAGTTTTCCTTTTCTGTGGTATTGGTATCAGTGTTGTGTGTTTGCTTCATAGAATGAATTTGGGAGTATTCCATCTTCTTCTAGGTTCTGGAAGTTTAAATAGTATAGGTGCCAGCTCTTGAACATTTGGTAGAATTCTCCAGTAAAGCCATCTGGGCCAGGACTTTTTTTTGTGGGGAGTTTTTTATGATCTGCTCAGTTTCTTCTTTTGTTATGGGTCTGTTGAAGGATTCTATCTCAAACTGGGTTAGTTTAGGTAGGTCTTGTGTTCAAATCTGTTGGAGTACAGTTCTTCCTAATATTCTGTTAGTATCTTTTTTATTTCACTTGGTTCCCTTGTGATGTAGCCCTTTTCATTTATTATTTGTGTAGTTTGCCTCTTCTCTTTCTTTTCCTTTGTAAATTTTCCAGTGGTTTGTCAGTTTTGTTAAGTCATTAAAGTGGTTTTGATTATTAGTGCTATAGTGAACATCTTGTATATATATTTTGCACCTTGTAAGTATTTTTATAGAGTTAAAATTACCAGAACTAAAATTACTGGGTTAGTTTCAGCTAACATAATGTTCCATTGTTGTAAGAAGCATTGACTATTGTTCTGCTAAATGTGTTAATTTTATCCTATCCTTTAAAGAGTTTTATATCTATCAAAAAATTCCTTCAAGTCGTACTTCAAAGTGAAAGTTGCAATAGTTTGGCTATTCTAAGAGTCTCTATATTGCTCAATACTGAGGGAAGAGTATAGCCACCAAGAATGGATGTTTGTCTGTTTTGAAGGCTCTTTAAATATATTTTACTGATTTCAAACTAATTTCTTCTACTTCCACATTGGTTTAAATTAGTGAAAAAGTCTTAGAGCGTAGAAAGGATTATTAAGGATCCTTTTGAAGTAAAATGACATTTCTAATTATATCAGAATACACTTTTAGGCAGATCAGTCATTTGCCCTTCTATTACGTGTGGAACTTTCCTTGCTAAAATAATGCTGGTGCTATTTCTAAAACACAGGATCGTCAAATTAGGGAGAAGTTGTTGAGGAGATACTGTTACTAGACCAAGTTGATCATAATGGTTCCTTAAAGAATGTTGTTGTTATATGCCGTTGAGTCGGACCCGACTCATAGCGACCCCTCCTTGGGTTTCCGAGGCAGTATCGCTACGGAAGTAGATTGCCCTGTTTTCCTTCCGAGGAGTGGCTGGTGGGTTTAAACCACCAGCTTTCTGGTTAGCAGTCAAGTGCCTTAGGCACTGTTCTACCAGAGCTCCTTTAAAGAATGTAGATATGGTTAATACAAAGGGTGTGTGCATGCGTGTGCTTGCTTGTTCTTGTTCCCGTGTCATGTAGTCACTTGATATTTATATTTGACGAGAATCCTAAAACATGCTCCTTTCACGTGCAGAAAATGACTCTATATATAAATGATTTCAATTTATTTGTCATTGATAATAAGGAAAGGAAGGAAACTAAGTTGCTAAAGGCTTAAAAAGCCTTTGGTTAATTCATTGTTTATATCATTAAGTATTGATAGCAATATCAAATACTTAGTTAATTATAACCATATAAAGTTTATATACTTTTTTCTTTTATCCAGTGTTTGAATACCTATTTTCTATTGTGTACTGCACTTCACTAGATGGAGTGACTCAAGGATAGTACCCAGAATCCTGCCTGTCATTAGAGCAAATGGAAACCTAGGTTAAAATCATGGCTGTGAGGCGTACTTCAGTTTTGACCTGCCACAAACTACTGAACTTGTAAGACTGTTTCCTTCTATGGAAACTGGGTGAAAATATCAGTATTCCTCACAGGCTTGTTTCAAGGAAGAAATGAGATAATACATACAAAACAGAACAATGTAAAAACACATTTGTTATTACTTGTCTTCAGCTGAGAGGCAGTGGTGGTTTAGTGGTAGAATTCTCTCCTTCCATGTAGGAGACTGCGTTCAACTCCCAGTGAGTGCTTCTCAAGTCCAGCCACCACTTATCTGTCACTGGAGGCTTGTGTGTTGCTTTGATGCTTCTAGACTGAAACAGACTAAGAAGAAAAGCCTAATGATCTATTCCCAGAAATCAGCCAGTGAAAACCCTATGGATCACAACAATCCTGTCTGCAGCTAATCCTAGAGATGATGTGGGACCAGGCAGTTTCGTTCCATTGTAGATGGTATCACCATGAATTGGGCTAAGTAGATGGCAGCTAGCAACAACAGGTTAGGTTCCCCAGGATTCTGATCCCAAGGCAAAAAGTGTGAATGCTGGACCTTTGGGGGACCACACTTTGAAGGGAGGAGGGTAGTAGGATTAAGCTGCAGGAGAAGTGCATCTGCAGTGTAATTGAAATACAGGGTCCTCAGACCATCCTCAGAAGTGCTCTAGAGCTGAGCTGTCCTTGCAGAGGTGTTTGGAATTGAGACAAGGGGCCCGGGCCTTTGTACCTCAGCCTCAACCAGCCATTCGATAACTGTGTGCCTGGACTCTTCCTGTGCCAATGACTGAGGTTTTTATGTTTGGTACACTGCTCTTCCTTTCTTTACCAACTTATGATACTGTGAATAACCTGCCTTTATAGAGACGTGGCTAAATCACTTTTGTACATTTTCCTTGTCAAGGAGTCTCATTGGAATTTTTAATTGGAATTGAATTAAAATTATAAATTTTGATAGCATGTCAGGGTATAGGGAAAAACACTAATTGAAGAAATCAGGTTTGTTTGACAATTACCACATTTTCCTCATGAATGTGTGCTGCTTAATGATTGAAATTGTCCTTAAATATTTGTGTGTGTGTGTTTCTTTTTTTTTTTTTTTTTTAGATAGCATTCCACTTTTGTTTAGTTGTAAGCAATTGGGGAAACTCTTGTGTTCTGGTTACCTAGTATTGCTCTGACAGGAATATACCACAAATGGGGTGACCCGAACAAATAGGAGTTTATTCTCTTACAGTTTAGGAGGCTAGAAGTCTGAGTTCAAAGTGCCAGGCTCTAGGGGCTGGGTGAAAGCCCCTCGACCTTGGGATTTAGCTTTGCCTCTTGCTCCTGATCCACTGAAGCTAGAGGCCTCTCTTCACTCAGGCAGCTACTGGCTGCTGAGGCTAACAAGCCCAAGGTCGACAGATAAAATGGCACAGTCCCAATGTTACGAAACCACACAGCAGGCCATTCATTCAAGTCCATTGAAAGTCCCCAGGTCGGCGGGCTGCTGAACAACCACATGGCTACATGCAGGGTCAAGCATTCCATAAGCTGGAGACCATTCCCAAAGCTGCTTCTTATATACAGGAAGCAGACCACATACCCAAAGCAGCTACTCAGCTGCTCTGACAGATTCCACCATGGAGTTAATTACCAATCTTACTGTGGGGAATAACTACATTCATCTGTCCAGCCACTCAACCAGGCTCAGCCAAGTTGACACACAAATGTAACCACCACACCTTGTCTTAAATTTTGCTAAATTATTTCCATCCAATCTTTGCAAATTACCACAGTGACTTAATATATTCAACTTACATCAGTAAAAGCATGGTTAAGTGTCCTGTTTGTTAATAGGTAGGCAAAGAAATTTGGCACTAAGCTATTAATTACATTACTATTTAAAAAGTAAAAGGTGATAATTCAAGTATTAATTCAATTATTATGCTACATCTTGTACATACTGATGGCATGATTTTCAAGATACATTGTTTGGTGAAGAAAGCATTTAAAGAAAAATTTGGACAGTATGCTACTATTTATTAAATAACATTGGGCACACCCATGTTCATAGCAGCATTATTCACAATAGCAAAAAGATGGAAACAACCTAAATGCCCATCAGTGGATGTTACACAATGGCATACTACACAATGTTAAAGAATAATGATAAATCTGTGAAACACCTCATAACATGGTTGAACTTGGAGGACAGTAGGAAAGCACTTTTTTCCTTTGGATAAAAAGCACTCAATTTGCAGCACCCTCCCTCAGACTGGTCTCAGATACAGAGATCATGAGAGGTGTGGAGGAGACAGTGTGTTTGTACAGCAAGAATTCAGTTAAGCCTCGTCTAACAACTCTTGCCTTCCAGTATTTGCCGATCATTTCTGTTTGTGAGAATTAGGTATGCGGTACGGGCTTTCTTTATTTAAGAGACATGTTATACTAATGCAATGTATGGTCATTGTGTTGAACCTGATTTTAAAATACTGGTTGTAATGAAACATGTATGAGAAAATTTGAGAACTTAATGGATATTCTATATTTTAAGACTTCTATGAATTTTTATGAGTGATAATGTCATAATTTTTTAATGGACACTTACAATATTTATTATACCATTTTGTATATGTTTGAAATTTTTCATTGACACTGTTAAAAGAAAAATGTGATTTTTTTTTTTTTTTTTTTTGTCTTTTTCTGCCTATGTCTTT